GTCCAGCCCCGCTGGCTGGGGCCCCCCGTGGCCTTCAGCTTAGCCCAGCCGACAAAGTTTAAACGGTTGGAAGATACCGTGCGCGTGCCGCAGGAATTAGTGAGTGTTCCGAGGAAGCAGTTCCCGCTTCCGAAACACAACAGGAACGCAAGGAAAGGCTGACTAAACTCGTCGCTACCCTCGTTCAAGTACAACCTCTTCCAAGGGAAGCCATTGCATTGTTTCGTGGCGAACCCCATTGTGAAAGTTGCGTCATGTCTGCGAAGACGGATCGGCGCGGTCTTCGCGTTCGAATGCGCCCTTGAAGTCGAGAGCTCAGTGCCACTCGGAGAAATGTACGTCGCCGCAGCCCGAAGGCGCCGCCTTCGAGTGTATACGATAGGTGGAGGTTCCCGAGAGCAGAACATCGACATATGTTGGCACAGTGGAAATCATCTTCGATGCAAGCCCTGATTAGGGCGCCCGGCCTTGCCGATGAAGTTCGGCATCTATGGTTGGAATCCGAGGGGGGGGAATTGGTTGCCCCATGCGGCTCAGGCGCCGCGGGGCGCAAGGAGAGATCATCCGTGCACCTCGGATCATGCAGGTTCTTAGTTGTCACAGGCTGTGGACGCCATCTCATCGCAGAGAAGTTCATTCGCGCTGCAGGCGCAAGTGGAATGACCAGGCGTCTTGAAGAGTCGATCACCCTGAACACTGCCGGGGGCCCCTCGCGGGCCCTCGGTTCAGTTCGCGTCGCAAGCCCCGGATGCAGTGGAACTTCTGAAGCGCTTGTCATGCCGGAAACGCCGGAAGGCATCTCAGTGGGAGAGCGGTGCTTGGATCACGGCTTTAGTTTCGTTTGGCCAGCAGGCCAGCGATCCCGCTGACTTCTGCCCAACAGTCATAGAGTGGACCTGGTCGTTGGGGGCAAGATGCCTTACTTGACCCTATCTGGCAGATAGGCGCCGGGTCAGTGGATGCGCGCGGCCGCCGGCGGGGAGCCTGCAACTCCCGAGCGGCGGTGTTGCGTGACGTCGGGCGCCAAGACATGTTTGGATGAAGTTGGCTCTGCGGGGGGCCCTCCGCCCGAATCAATTCAGAGTCGCGTAACCATAGACTTGCATACACGAGATGATTGGTAACCGTGGCTATGCGGACGGCAGACCGGCCGTGTCCGACTGTCCGTTCCCGTCCGACGTAGACTCCACGGGTATCGCCACTTGTTTCTATTTTTCGCTTCAGAAATTTCGCGAGTGCGGTTGGGATCGAACGCCGACCAGCGCTATGAGCTTGATAAGTCTTTCATCTTCCCCCAACCACGACTCAGTCATTGGTTGTATTATTATACCGCGCCACGGCTTAGCTGGAGGCTGCGCGGCTGTGCATAAGAGCACTTGCTTATACGGGGCCTCAGGATTCTTTCCCCGCGACATGGATCAAGGGCTTGATCCCGACGCAACTGCTGCAGCACCTGGCCAGGGGGGAGATGCAGATGCGGGTTCTGGTGGCGTTGGCCTTGTTGACGTCGACGCACCGCCTGATCTCGACCGATGATGCAGAGGTTGAGGTGCCAGTCTCCGCGACTGAGCAACTCAAAATGAGCATGGGCTCCCTCGCGCATTTACTAACTCATGCCCAGATGAATCCCTTCTGCTCAGTATGTATCTGTGCAAAGGCATTAAGCTTCCAACAAAGAAAAGCGCGCAACAAAGGCCTTAGGGTACATGGGCCATGCGCGAACCCCACCACGCTCGAATACCTGACAACAATAGATCACTGGCTTGCGATGGATGACTTATCGCGGGGGCTCCACGATGAGACCACGCGCGTGGCTGATCGCGACAGGGATAGAGATTTCCCAGCATCTCATGGCGCGCATGATAAATATGCGGTTCGCGCGTGTAGTTGTTGATCAACCTTGCAGTTCCGTGAGAGAAGTTATAAGATTGTTATGCGGACGGTGCGAGGGGCTTCGCACGAGATATTGCGGACATGGCAGAAGTTATAAGATTGTTATGCGGACATGGCAGATTTTCAATATCCAAGAGATATTGGAATAAGGGGGGGGGGGGGGCGATAGTATGATTACTGACGCGGCTGCAGCCAGATTGCACACCAATGGGTTGACTCAGTCGGCACCGCAGGAAGAGAGGGACCAATCGATAGCTGGAAATGAAGGAACGGCGAGCGATTGATGCTTGAGCATTGCTGTGGACCTAACAGTAGAAACGGCAAACCCGCGAATGTCGAGTGCGAGGACATGATAACTGATGAGGGTAAAATTCAGGCACCTGCGGATATAGGAGAGAAACAGAGGACAACGCATGTCGCTCTAGGGTTCGATCCCACGCGCGGCGGGCTCTCCTTGGCATTCTGTCAATGAAGCTCATTCTTTCCGTAAGGGCGATCATGGGTTCAGCCGCTTCCGCCCGTCGAGCCATCCACCCCTTTTTTTCCGCCCACCTATCCGCCGCTCCTTTTTCCATCCAGCCTCGCGCCGCGCAGAGCCCGTCGATCCATCCATCCTCCATCTAGCCCCCCTCTTCCCACCCCCACCCCTCCCTCCGTCCAGCGTGCCTCCATCCGGACCCCCTCCTGCCTGCGTCAGTCCACGCAGCCGCCTGCCAATCAGCCTCCCCCCACCCTTCCTCCATCGACCACCCCTTATTTCTCGCCCCCCCTCCTTCCATCCAGGCCGCCCCCGCCCGGGCATCTCCGCTGGCCCCCGTCCACGCCTGTATCTTTCCTTCCATTCATCCCCCCCATCCATGCAGGTACAATCCGTGCACCAATGCATCATGGGCGCCCCATCCCGCCTTCGACTCGTCGTCACGTCAAGGCAGAGTGTATCCTCCGCCCCATGTATCCTCTTATCCTTTTCCTTCCACTTCCTCCTCTCCTCATCCTGGCCCTTCCTCGTCCCTCCCCGTCGTCCTCGCCATATTCATCGTCGTCGTCGTCCTCCTTATCCTCTTGTTCCTCCTCCTCCTCCGCCTCCTCCTCCTCCCTGTCAGAATCAGCATCGGCACCATGATGAACATACTCAGCAGCGTCATCAGTACCATCATCATCCACATCACCAGAATTGCCATCATCATCGTCACCAGCGTTATCAACACAGACTTGACCGCCAACATCAGCACCGTTACCAGAATCATGGCCCTCATCGTTCGCATCATCGGCATCATCGTCATCACCGTCATCATCATCTCCATCCTCGCCGACATCATTATCAGATTGCTCTTTTTCCTGCCGTTTCATCTCCCTGTTTCCTCCCCCGTCCTCTTTCCTCGTCGTCTTTCTCATCCTCCTCCTCGCCCTATTCCTTTCCTCCTCCCCCTTTTTCCTTTTTTTCTTCCTTGTTCCCTACTCCGCCTTCGTCTCCTTCTCTTCCTCCTCCTTCCCTGATTCTTCCTCGTAACAATCACGGACGTTGTCCGGTAAAGTAATGCGCGTCGCCTGTCTGGTAAAGCTGTCTGGCAAAGAAATGCCCGCGGTTGCCTGGTAGGGAATTCCACGCCGGGTTTCTGGTAAAGAAACGCGTGTCTGTTCGGTGCAAAGTCCGTTGGCTGTCCGACGACTGCCTGGTAGAGGAATACATGCGATTGTCTGGTCGGGAACTGCGTGCCAGCTGTCTGGGAAAGAAACGCCAGCTGGCCCTGTGACTGTCTGGCAGGGAGGCTAAAGGTGGGTTCGCCACCCCCTCCTCAAACGATGACGCAGAACCTGAGCTGTGGCAGCCGCTGGCGATCCACGCGCCCTCAACTTTGGAAGGAGGGGGGTGCGGAAGGCGCGCCTGTCGACTTGGGCGGCAATGGCAGGGGGGGACGGGGGGGAGGAGGAGGGGGAGGGGGAGGGGGAGCAGGAGGAGGGGGAGGAGGAGGAGGAGGAGGAGGAGGAGGAGAATGACCAGCGCAAACCAAAAACGTGTCAACGATATTGCAATACACGTTCCCTTCGAGGTTCCCTTTTTCATAGGCCCCTACCCTACAACGGGCCATCGCCACTGGGGGGATACCCCCCGTTGGATGACGACCGTCCTGGGTTACCCGCGCCACGAATCACAGCCACTGTTGCGATTTGGCGATCCTGCATCTTGTCAAAACACCACATGGGATTTAAATGTACAAGACGAGTTCTGGACGTTTCGCGCATCCCCGCCAGCCCCGTGCGCCTCTCAGTTTTGGCGGGAAGGGGGGTCGTCATACGTGCTCCTCCAGTTTGAAGCGCCTGGCCGCCCAGCGCGGTGTCAAGTTAGTTGCGACGCGGCTTGTAGGACAGCTCGCCAGGGCATCGGTTCTGGATGACATTGATACGGTGCTGCATGAGGCTCATCCGTCGCGGGTGCGATTCGGCTTCCCACATGTCCAACCGTCTGTGCGGATGTGATCAGGTCATATTGATTGTACATCTGTCATGGATGAACATGATGTTTCGCTGTATCGGCTCTTCTGTCGTCGGTATGATTCGATGTTCCACAGCCTCCCGGGGGGGTGTTCCACTGCATGCCATTACGCTTCTTTGATCAGGGCAGCATGCCTGGGCATCGTTCATAGAAGTATTGGTGGGGATACGCGAAGCGTCAATGATTTCATGGCGCCCGCCCCGTTTTATTTACATAAATTGACGACACATGGGTTTCATACTATTGCGAAGCATGGATAGCCACCCCCATCAGCTAGACATGCCCTCCGAAAACTTGCGCTCTTGCTTCCATGGCAGACGGGTGACGGAGATGACTACGACATTCCAATTCAGTCGCATCATTGGGTATGTTAGGATTGAAACTCCGTTCAAAACCGCCGACGTCCTCCCAATGAAAAGGCCCACTCCCGACCCACCCTGGCGCACGCAGGGTCAACACCACAGCCCCCACAAGGCCTGTCACAGCTCGCTGTTTAGACTCAGGCAAACCGTGCTGACTTCAACTTATATGTATGTCCCCCCCCCCCCCCGATTTCCTGCCCTGCCCGTGCTTCTTCCCTCGCCACCCCCAACCCAGAACGGGGCAGTGGAAGGGTGAGAACGCGGACGTGGACACGGACGGGGACCAGGCTTTTGTTACGCCGGACCAGAAGGGTGCACTCACGGAACGCGCCCTGCTTATGGACGACGTCTTTGCCACCGCCCTTGACCGTACGTTCGGTAAGACGTGTCTCCGCCGACTTGGGGCCGCGATGGGTTGGCCACGGTTCAGCTCGTGTGTGGCGGGAAGCTCTCGGGGAAGTCGCGTGCCTCCCTGTGCTGCACCGCGCTTGGCGGCGCGTGCAGGGGGCTGGCGCGAGGGGGGGGTTGTGAAGGCGGGGGGGTTCTGAAAAGGCAGGGGGCGCAGAAACGCCTGGACGCTTCCGGTAAGGCTCTTTAGAAGCAGGGAGGCCTTCGAAGAAGCCACCTGCCTTCATAAACGGTTCTCGCGCCACCCCCTTTGGCACGCCGCAAATGTGCAGTGCAGCGTTGATCTGTTTTCGGGGTGCTGGTTTCCCCGAGACCCCGTGGCAGAGGCCGAGGGCTGCGCACCTGCAGCTCGTCGCTGCTCGAGCTTCGCGGTCTGGTCGCAGGTCGAGTTTCGCGGGATGGGTTCAGAGGTGAAAGATACCGATACAGCATCGGCGTTGAATTTTTTAACGGGTGGAGCTCAGCAGGGGCTCGCAGTTTCTGAGGTCTTTGTGTATCCAGCGGGTTGTTAGGCGAACACATGGTTTGTTCCTATATAGCGTCCTTTATGGCTGTAACTTGGCTGGACCAGGTGAATTCGCTTTGACATTATGGTCAGAACGCACCCGAGGAGAGGCCTGGAGAGTAGCAGTATCAGTATATGTTTGGTCCACCATGGGTCGGACAGTTGTTTTTGTCCAGAGGGCGTCGCGATATCGCGAAGGTAGCTGACCGCGTTTCGCGCGCCGCGAAGCTCGAAGCCAGGTGACCAAGGCTTGCAGAGACCAGACCAGTTTTACCTCACAGGCCTTTGCATCGTCCATCGTGGTCTGAACGCGATCGGCGGAATTCGTGGCACAGGGTGTGCGGATTCTCTGCATATGTGATTGTTGCCATTCTGGCACCATCTGCGACATCGACTCGTTTTATTCGAGAACCCTTGCGGGAAGTTGCCAGGCGTTCGCGGGCAGATCGACTTTGAGAATATAGCAGTTCCAGGTCTTGCGAACGTAATCTACGTATGCGCAGTTCCTCCTTCAGGTGGAAAGGAGGTGCAAAGATTTTAAGGTCTCCAAGCAGCTCAAAAGAGGCATGCCACTCGGCAGGGAAACGTAATTAGTGCATCGTTTCCCCTTCCGTATCTGTGCTTTGGGTTGGAGAGCGGGGGGGGGCGTGGACTCCATTTTGCCAAGAAGCTAGCTACTTGACGCTTTTTGTATCCTCATCAGCCCATAAAGCAACGTTGTCGAAGCGAGTTGCTGTGATCAGGAGGCAAGCACAGGAACATGCGGTGGAACAATGAGGGGGGAAGTTGTCAAACGAGAGTTTGGGATCGGCCTGCGCAAACCCAGGAGTGGGCCATAGATGTGTTCGCGTCCCGGTCGAATAAGGGGGAGGAGGAGGAGGAGGCGAAGGCGGAGAACGGCGTTGGGGCCGCGCCATCGAGGCCTTCTGAGGGTGCTATTGGGGGCAGCATTGGGGTCCTTGAGGCCCGCTCTTGGGGCTCTCTTGGGCAATGCTGGATGCCTGTTGGTGCTCTCTCGGGGCCCTCGCTGGGCGCTCTTGTGGTTCTCTTGGGAGCCTCGGGGGCGCTCCTGAGGCCACCTTGGATGACATCGATCAAAGACGGGAGCGGCGCATATTCAGCTTGTCGGGGCTCAAGAGACGGGGATCCATGCAAACGGGTGTCAGTCAGAGCGCGGGATCTTGCAGGATCTTGCAGAGCCAGGGCTGCACTGACCTGGGCTTGGGTGCAGGATCCTGAGCACAATGCAAGGTGGTAGCGGTGCGTCCGCGCATGATCCAGATTTTGAGGCACCGTGTATTTTGTATGTTTGTTTGACAGGGATGGGGGAGGCGGGGTGGTACGGGTCCTGCTTGGCTGCTGGTTTGGTGGGGGAGGGGGTGTCTATGAATAAGGAGCAGCGATCAAATTCCCAACGGGTACGCCACAAGAAGTCTCTCGCTCACTCACTCACCCCCGCCCTCCCACCATGTTTTGTCGCACCGAAGACTCGGCATAAGCAAAGGTCGCCATCGGATGGGCAGCCATCGCGAACCACCAATACAGGCGCCGGGTACGCGACGCTCGCGAGATGCGCCGCCCAGGACAGGTGCGCCGCGCGCACCAGGTGCGCCAGGCCACCCAGCGGCCCAAGCGTGCCAGGCGCGCCTGGCGCCACGTGCGCCGACTGCGCCGCGTGCTGCAGCCGCGCCATGTGCGACACGCACGCAGAGTGCGCCTGGCGGCGACAGGTGCACCAGCGCGCGTGTCAGCGCACATCGAGCAACACGTCGGCTTCCCCAACCGCCCCCCGCGGGCAGCATGGTGCATGGAGTGTGCGTGTGTGTGTGTGTGTGCACCTGCAGTGATTTCTGCACTTGTTTTTTGTCTGGGACAGTGGGCGGCGCAAAGTGTTCAGCTCTGACCTTTGATCACGCCCCCGACATCCCTGTCCGAAAGCGGTGCGAAGTGGTTGTGGATTGCCCGCTCATGATGGCGATGTTGCTGCCGCGTACACCCCAAATGTTTCGGGGCAGGGCTGGTTGGGGACATCTCATGGTTGATGGTTGGTGGCCGGTCGAGTGAGGGAAGGGGTGCTTATTATAAGGACCAGTGAGAAATCCATCCCCAAACGGAAAGGAGGGAGTTAGAAGTGGAAGAAGCGCGCTCAACCACTTCCGCCCAGAGGTGTGGTGGGATTCGGGCATTGAATACCCCACGGATGGATCCAGCATGTGTGTGTGTGTGTGTGTTCTCGTCAGCGGTGTTGTATTAGTGAATTATCAGAGGTTGGTTGTCGACAGATTTGGAATTTTGCACAAGATGGGTTACGAAAGAGGAATGCATGCACAATGTGAGCTTCTTATCGAGGGGCTAAATGAGCGGATTGTGCAGCCTGCGTGTAGTGATATGAGGGATATCCTCGGGCATCGGTTTGTCCATCCACAATATAAGAGTGTACATGTGTGATTCAGCCTCGGCAGTCCCTTTTGCCACTCGCTAAAAGGAGGTTGTACTTAGATTCATTCGTGCGAAAGGGCGTCGCGTGGTGTGCCTTTGGCGTGTATGTAATGCCGCATCTGGGATTTTGGGCATGCCGACGGCGGGCAGTTGGCGTGGACTGCCTACAACTGGATACGATAGTTTATCGTCTCTCTTGCCGAGCTGCCTGTAGCAAGTCCAGTCGCCGTGCCAGCCCAGCAGTACGGGTGGCTGGCAGCTGTTAGGTCACCATACAGGAAGCTGTCACGTGGGACACCTTGCGCCTCGACGGTTTGGCAAGCCATAACATGTGGTACGCCCCTCCGCGTCGTGTCGGGGTGCTCCTCCCCGTGTTCGTCGTCGTCTTCTTCCCTTCTCTTCTTCCCTTCTCCTCTCTTGGCTCTTGGCGCCTCTAGGAGACCTCCAAGTGACATCCTGGAGGCTTCTTGAGGGCCTCTTGGGGGCTCCTCGGGTCGTCCTAGGGCGCTCTAAGGCAGTCTGGCGCCGTCGGAGTCCGTCTTCGGGGCCGCTCTGGGCCGTCTTGAGGCCCTCTCGGGGCTCTGAGGGGTCATCGTGAGGGCTCCCTCTTGGGCAGTCTCTGGGGCCTCCTTGGACCGTCTTGGGGCCATTTGTCAGGCTTCTTTGGCTATCCTGAAAGCTTCGTGAGCCCTCTTGTGGCCCTCTTCGGGGTATCTTGGTTCGCCTTGGGGTGTTCTTGAAGGTTTCGTGGATCGTCTTCGGCTGGCAAACGCCTACATGTAGAGAACGGAAAGACTAATCCACGATCTGATGATAATAAATGGTAACGAAGGCCTCATGGCGGGTGCCGCCGACCTTGTTCGCTAGGACGATGAGGCGGAGGATGAAGAGGAGGATGAGGAGGAGGAGCTGGAGGAGGAGCTGCAGGAGGAGCTCAAGGAGGAGCTGGAGGAGGAGTAGTATGGCGGAGGGGGGCACAACCTCGGGGACCCCTTAAGGACCTGGGACCCCCCTGGGTCCCCGCCTGACCACACCCCCTGGGACCCTCCTTCCATCTCCCCTGCGGAGGAGGTATCAAAGGGAAGATCTGATTCCCTTTGACTCGAGGACGTTCCTCGATTTCGTAAAGACGAACAGAAAGCGTGAGAACTGGAATGGGAACACTTCATCTTCGAGGCGTCTTGGGGCGTTCTTGGCTGGCGGAAGCCTGAAAAGGCGAGAACGTGAAAACAAACTCATAACTTGCGGACGCTCAATGATTTCGACATCTTCGGGCTATCCCGGAAGTTCCCTTCTGGGCCGTGTTTGGGGCCGTCTTCGGCTTAGAGGCGCATGAGCCATCTTGGCGGCCTGTCTGGGCCGTCTCGGACGCCATCGCGGGCACGTTTGACGCGTTGGATAGCCCCAAAGAGGTGTCAGGCCGTTCAACGAGCCCCTGGAAGGAGGGAGCGGTACACGCAACTGAGCGCTAGCAGAGGGGGGTCCTGAGAAGATCACAGGATCCCCATACAAGGCAGCCGTTTGCATTCTGCCAGCCCTCAACATGCTAGGAGGCATGGTGACGGAATTATGATTCCGCGCAGTTTGGCAATGACAGATCTCTTCGTGTCACCGCGCACGTCACCGTAACATTGACACGATCGGCATTCCCATGGGGTGAGTTCGCGGATTATGACCACGACATATATCAGATCTCCGCTTCCCAAGATCACGAGGAGGCAGAAGATATCGGCAGGGGCGGTGTTCTGACTACAGCAATCCGCAGGGCCGTGAGAAAGTTGAGTGTCGAGTACGGACGCCAGGACCGCTTCGTTCTTTTCTGTCAGGGTCAATGCTGCGGTGCTCCGTCGGCTCCTTTGCAATCACACCTGGCGTGCAAGCATCCGCTCAGATTGTTGGTTGATTTCTGCTGTGTAGAATCTAGCAGGAGTTCAGCGTCGAGAGGGTGTTCCGCCAGTGCCAGAAGTACGCGAGGAGGCTAACCAACATGCAGGAGCCCCAGGGCCCCACAATATGACGATTGTGAAGATGAGGGGAAGGGGGAGGGGGAGGAGGAAGGGTGAGGAGGAGGAGGAGCAGGAGGAGCAGGATCATTGTTCGGAGCAGGACGAGGAGTATCCTGTTGCCCTTGGGCCCTAGAGGGACACGACAGGTGCACACGTTGCTCCCCCACCATGTACCGCCTCCCAAATGTGTAAGCATCGCCCGTCGATTCGCGAAATGCTATTTGCAGTTCTCTCTGCGGGCCTGCGCTCGCCAGCTCTGGTCCCGGGTCGTTTCCACTAGAGGGTGTTTCGCTAAAGGGTGCCATATTGGGCACTGCGCCGCATGGTGCGCGGGGTGGCGGCAGCCGCTGAAGGGGGTGTGGCGATATTGGCCCCGGCCGTCCCTGGGGCCGCCCAGTGTGAATTGTCCGGAGGCAGCGTGCACGCGTCAGCTGACGTGGTGTTGTGGCGGTGCCCTGCGCAATCCAGTTTTCGAACACTGGCCTCCCGGCCACCTTTGTTTGGTGCGGCCTTGTAATGCTGCGGCGTACTGAGGCCTGTGGCCTTGCGACTTGTGATTTGTGGCAGTCGCTCCAGTTTTGGGGCCAGTGCTCTGCTTACGGCCTGTCCGCACAGCTACTCCCCCACACCAACACAGGCAGACAGACAGACAGACAGACAGACAGACAGACAGACAGACAGACAGACAGACAGACACACAGACACACACACACACACACACACACGCACTGCGTTGCATCTGAACAGCTTCCCCGTGGGCCATGGTGCCGAAATTATGATATGTTTCCCCCTCCCCCGCATCTCTGGGCAGAAGCTTAGCGTCGACGCCAGGCTTTGCTATGACTCTGTGATCCGCAACATCCGAAGCACCAAGTACACCGCTTTCGACAATGACTCGAGTCGGGCCAATGTTTTCGGGGCGTGCTGGACTCAGGAGCGTGCGGCCTAGTGCGGCTACCAAATCGGCGAAATCAAGTGCCAGCTTTGTTCGGGATCGTCGGATTCCATATTTCACAGGAATTGGTTATGTCCAGGAGTTCCGGATCTCAGGGGGGAGTTCTGTGACGAGGACGGTTTAAAGGTTGCCCTTGAGATTGACCCCGGCTCCTGCTCCAAGGCCGACTAGGTCCTGCTCACCGAGGGGCTCTTCCCTCGTCCAGGTGATGTTGTTCCTCAGCCTGATCAAAACTCTGCCCCTGAGGTGCAATGGGAAGGTGAACGCCCTCCAAGTGATGAACAACTCTTCTCGGGCAAGGTGTTCATGGACGGGTCGTGCCAGAAGCATGTAGTGTACGATTCTAGTGACAAGTTGGCCCTCTGAATGTGGGCCCCTCTTCTAGACAGGTTTCCCCAGACCTCCCAAGCAGCCGAGTTCGGGGCCTTTTCTTATGCCTGCCTGTGCCTCACCGTGTCCTCCGTGGGTTTCAGCGATTGTCTCAGCGTCTGTAAGCCCATCTAAGCTCGACCGTGCTAAGATGCTGTTGTATAAAAGGCTAAGATGCTGTCGTATAAAGGGCTTTACGCAGGCCCCGTGATTTATGCTATTGGGGCCCGTTTGTCTGATGTGGTTAACGTCAGGGCCCATGTGGCCGAGTCCGGGGACCTCTCGATCCAGGACCGTGTCCTGAAAGAAGGTAAGGGCGAGGCTGATCGTTCAGCCAGGCTCAGGGCGGCCATGCATCCAAGGTTCCCTGCCGACGAGGAGCAGCATCTCGTTTGACAAAAGTGTCCCGCAACGTTTCTCGCCTCGCTGCTCGTTTGCTTCCGTCGTGGCCGCAGCTGGACCTTGACGGAATTATTTTGTGTGCCACCCCCGAGGGCGCCCAAGGACTCCGCTCCCACCCCTGGAGGGGAACACGAGTGGATGTGGTGCAGGGCCTTCTGGCGCTGCAACAAGTGCCTGAGGTTTCGTAGGCAAGCCGTGCGACATTCGAATGAAGGCTGTTTGGAGAACCTGCCCCTTGTTGCTTTGTCTGTTGCTGCACGTGGCCACTCCTGCCTGGCGTTGGGAATGGCCAACGATCAGAGTTTGATAGTTTGCTCTAGGCACAAAGCATTTCATCATCATCAGCATCATCATCATCAGCAGCATCATCATAACCATCAGCATCACCATTAGCAACACCATCATCACCATCATCAGCAACGTCAGTATCGACATCGGCAGCATCGGCATCATCATCATCATCATCATCATCATCATCATCATCATCATCATCATCATCACCATCATAAGCATCAGCATCAACATCATCACCATCATCATAATCAACACCACCATCATCATCATCGTCGTCGTCATCAGCATCCTCATTATAATCATCAGCACCATCAGCATCATCATCATCATACTCAGCAGCAGCAGCAGCGTCATCATCATCATCATCATCATCATCATCATCACCAGCATCAGCATCACCAAATGTCGTCATCATCATCATCATCAACATATTCATCTTCAGAATCATCATCATTATTCTCAACATCATCGCCGTCATCTGTATCATCATCAACATCGTCATCATCTTCATCACCGTCATCGTCACTGTCAGCATCGTCGTCATCATCATCACCATCGGCATCGTTATCATCATTACCATCATCATTATCATCATCATCACCACCATCATCATCATGAACAGCTTCATCATAAGCATCATCATCGTCGTCATCATCATCGTGGTCGTCAGCGTAGTCATCATCATCATCACCACTATTACCATCACCATCATCATCACTCTCATCCCCATCATCATCGTCATCATCATCAACATCAACATCATCGCCATAATCATCAACATTGTCATCATCAGCATCATCATCAGCAGCAGCAACAGCATCATCAGCATCATCATGTTTACCTCCTCTTTCCCATGCAGCGTTCCATTATTATTATCCACTTTCGCTGCCCCTTCTTCTTCTTCTTCTTCCTCCTCCTCCTCCTCCTCTCTCATCTTCCTCCTTACCCTTCCCCTTCTCCCCCTCCTCTTCCTCCTCCTCCTCCTTCTCCTCCTCCCCCCTTCCTTCTCATCCTCTGCTCTCTGGTCGGGGGCCCTGTTCGTCAGGGCCTCCGTGGTCAGAGGTCCTGGTTATGCCGCTGGAGGCTCAGGACCCCGTTCGGGCTCTGAGAGGCTCGGGTACTCGGCCGCGTCGGCGACGGGCGCATCGGAGGGTGCCGACTGCCCCCCCCCCCCCCCCCTCTGTGACGCGTTCATCATCCCTTCCCCCCCCTCCTCCTCTGCCCCTGTCTCCTCCTGTTCCTCCTCCTTCTGCGCCTCCGCTTTCTCCTCCTTCAGGATGTAGCAAATCCAACCCTCCCGTTCCCCCGTTCCTCAGCTTCCTCCTCCTCCGCCCTTGTCCTCCCGCCTCACCTGCTCCGCCCGGCCCACGCGCGCGCAGGAGCTCAGCTTTCAGCACAGCGGCCTCGACCCGGCAAGGGTCGCGTGGCCGCTGGCTTTCCCGTGGTGGGAGTACGTGCAGCAGCCTCTCTTGAAGGTCTGATGGTTCATGGTGGGAAGAATCGATGCCGCTACCCTGGCCTCGTTTTCGCCATTTCGGGCCTCTGGCGAGGCCATCTTCGACACGGCGGTTGGATTAGCTTCTTAATCCTGGCCAGAAAGCACCTTGGGAGGTCGGGGGAGTAGCGTTATTGTTATGTTCGGATTTCTTCGATAGCCGGGTCCGTTTCGATCGGTCCAGTTCAATATCGAGTTCGGCCGGTGCTTTACCTTTTGTATTTGGCGCATGTTATTTTGAGCGGTAGCCCCGCTTTGGTTTTCGGTGGCCCTTCGGTCCGTTTGGGTCCTTCCCCGACCCGCTTTCCTTCATACGTCTCCCCTTCAAAGTCAAGGATGGGGAACCTTCCGCCCGCGCAGCAATTCTAGTTCGCGTGGCGGGTTGGTAACACGGGCGCGCGTCGGGCCCGCCGCTGCCGTCGTGTCGAGTCGTATTGCACACATGGGATAACAATCAAGTAGGAGCTCGGCATTTTTCAACGGCGAACCGAGGCCCCACCAAGTAAAAGGGGCTAGGTTGGCCTCGGCCAAAAAGCTGTAGGAACCTCATACGCATGTTCTCAACCGAAATGTGCGAACTCAGTGCAATCAGTAATCAGGAAACCGCAGGTGAGTTGGAAGCGCACTTTGAGGCCATCATCGCAGTTACGTCCTTCGACGTGGAGAAGACAACAAGCTGCTCAACGGCAGCAAGCGGGGTATGGACAAGCCGTGCCATTGGACCGTGCTTCAGGAGCGGGTCGAGCCCATCCGCTTTGGCGGGGCAACCCGCCGATATCGCGGCCAGATTCCGAAAGGAGGTTTGCTCCGTATCACGTCGCACATTAGCAGGGGAACGACGCTCCAGCGACTACAGCGTGAGGGCCAAGGGCACCCTGATCCTTTCGACCAGGTCGGACAGGTGCCACCTCGCCCTGAAGGCCACATGCCATCCAGGCCACAGGCGGTGCAGCAGGGTTGGTCCAAAGTTGCCGTCGCCAAGCAACACAAATCAATATAAATTGCCGATATCGTCCAATTCCAGGCGCTGCAGGAGCAAGGCATAATGTTCGAACCACAACACAAGAGGCCAACTTTCCCAGGTTGTGGTCGTCCTTCGCGGAGTTCGCAACTACTTCACGAACGCAACGAGCCCAGAGCCCAGAGTGTATACC